ACCCCCCCTCGATGAATAACGGGGGGGGGGGGGGGGGGGGGGGGTAATGTTTCGCATAGCTTCGCTGTTTGACCATTGACCACGCGTCCTCGAGAGGACGGAGGGCAGGGGGGGGGTACTAACATTTTGCATGCCTTAGCTGTTAGACCGTGGACCACAGATTCCCCTCGAGAGGAAGAGAATTGTTCCCACTCGAGGAGTCGGAGGAGGCAAAGGGAGAAACATAACTCACAAAATAAGCACAACAGTGAGATGGAAGGGAAAGCGAGCGAGAGGTAGTGGACAACACAGGAACAAAAACGCGCAAAATGCAAGAAAGCCTCTATATCCACGAAAGGGTGGGGGGGCAAGCAGGGAAGCAATGTACCTATTTAGTGACGTCACAGACACCCACGCCGTTAATCCGGAGAGTAGCGTAGACTACCCCATGACGCTCGGTCACAAGGTCCCAGATCGTGGCCAATAGAACCATTTTGTGGTTTCCACCGCACTGAGACTGACGTCTTTTCATTGGTCAGCCGGTTAGCCTATCGATGCTAGTCAAAAGGACACATACACACACACAGGATGGAAACGACACCAATGCTCCCCCCTTGCCCCACCTTGCCGTCGATCCCTCTCTCAGACACGGAGAAGTAGAGCTCCATCCCGTTCCCGCCCTCCCCCTTGCCGAACTCGTGGGCCAGCACCTTCCGCATCGACTCCAGGTACTGAGTGTCCCGCCCGCAGCAATCCTCCCACGTGGGCGTCGACCCCTGATTTCCACATCATCATGGGTTTCCACATCGTCAATATGGGGCGTCCCATGAATCCGAGGTACGGGAGCGAGGGGGGTCGGTGTGTATTGCCATGCTATTGATAGACCGCCGTGCCGCGAAGAGGGGAGACGAACAATTTGATAACAAAAAGAAGAAGACACAAGGAAGAAAAAAAGCGATCAAAACTCAGACGGAGTTTACGAAAGATATGCAGACACACACAACCGTGTAGCGCGCGTGTCAACCACTCAGACAGAACTCACGAGGAGGACGCTCCAGACCGCCTCGGGCATGACAACTCCCAGAGGCGAGCCAGACACAACGCTCATGGCGATGATCCGACCGGCGGCGCGGAAGAACTGACGAGAGTCCACGGCCACAATAACAATGAAATGCGCGGGTGATGCAGACAGTCAGGCGTTAGTCACGGAGTCGTGTTGCAACGAAGGGGTACATCGGGAGAAAAAAGGTGGTGACGACGACGACGACAACAACAACAACGACAACGACAACGACGACAACGACAACGACGACGACAACAACAACAACAAAACAACAACAACAACAACAACGACGACAACGACAAAGACGACAACGACAACGACGACAACGACAACGACGAAGGCAACAACAACGACGACGACGACGACGACATTAACAACGACGACAACGACGACGACGACGACAACAACAACAACAAAACAACAACAACAACAACGACGACAACGACAAAGACGACAACGACAACGACGAAGGCAACAACAACGACGACAACGACGACGACGACGGCGACAACGACGAAGACGACAACGACAACGACAACAACAACAACAACAACAACAACGACTCTCACCCTGAGGCGACTCTCCATACCCTCCCTGTCGTTCGCCGAGTTCACCCCGGCCTCTCCCGCCGCGCGCGGCACCACCGCCGCCGGGTCCGGCTCGTACCTCCTGAATAGCGGGAACTGCTTCCAGAACCCGGCCACCTCCGACACCTTCCTGCTCCTATCGCGCGCTGCTTCCTCCCTGATTTGGGTCGATGTCTCTCCCGGGGTAGCAGGAGGAGGTGCTGCCGTTGGCCCTCCCGCCCCTCCCCCTGGACGGCGGCCACTTCCACCACCATCATTGCCGCCGCCGCCGCCACCTTCGTGGCTTAGCATCACGATACGGCGGACGCCCCTGCTCCGCCAGGGCTCCGACTCGTCCGCCTCTCGAGACGCATTCGTGAGCCTGTCTACGCCCGGCGGCGGCGCCGTCGCGGCGGCGCCCCGTGATGACGGCATCGCGGCAGCGCCGCCGCCGCCGCTTCGCGGAACCTCGTAATCGTCCGGAGCAGCGGCCAGAAATGCCGCCGCGAGCCTGGCCATGTCCGCCGACACGGGAGGGCTCGGCAACGATGATGCCCCCGCCGCCCCCGCCCTAGCCTCCGCCCCCCCCGGTCCGGGCTTGACAAACACCGCCGCCGCCGGGTTGAGGGTCGAGCGACCGGTCGAGCGTCCTCCGGCCGCGCCGCCGCCACTAGCCCCGCCGCCGGGGGATGGGCCGGAGGCGGTGGTGGCGGAGGCGGACGTGTCCGAAGCGCTGCTGCCGCCGCCGGCACCGCTAACGGTGATCGTGCGCTCGGGGTTGAAGACCTCCGACAGCAGGTCGAGGAGCTCGCGCATCGGCCCGTCGCCTTGCCCTGGTGTTGTTGTTATCGTGGTTCAGTGTCGCGATAAGATATACTTGTATTAGGTTGGGTGTGCGTGTGTTTTTTTTGGGGGGTATTATTGTATTTTCAGTTTAGGGTATTTTTATTTTCGGTTTGGGTATTTCCAATGTTCAGTTTTTGGAACGCAAAGTATGACACGAAATCGAGAGGGTCAAGTTTGGGGGCACCGTAGATCGGGTCGCCCGCGGGAGACAGAAATAGCAAGGACAGCAGCGGCTTACGGACGAAGAGAAGATCGTGACACGCCACTAAACATTTCTTGTAACCCGGTCTCATTCCTACACAGAAGCACAGAGCAACGTTTATGATTCTCATGGCCGTGACGACGTTCTTCTCACTCTCGTAAATCCGTGCGTTGGTCTCTCTTGAACAGTAGCCGCGACTACAATAATAGTGCACAATTCGGTTGTCCGTGCCGATACTAAATAGGGCTACCCTCCGAACAGCCAGGACACATGCTGGGGGTGGCCCGTCCGCAATATAGCGAGAAAAACAAATCAAGACCACACCAGAGGCACGCGGTTCTACTGATTCAAATCGCCGGAAACTTAAAGAAGGAGAAGGCCACAATATTAAAAAAACACGACCGTCCGAAACGCCTTCTTCTGCCGTCGGTGTGTCTTGTAATTCACCTTGCTCGTTGACAAACTTGAGCTCCGGATGCGGTGCCATTGCCCTCGGCGGCGCGGCCGCAAGTTGTTGCATGGTCACCTCCACGATCTCGTGGCTGTCCACGACAAATTTACCGTTCAACGGGGTGGGGGGGGGGGGGGGGATCTAATGTTTTGCACGCGTTTGCTGTCAGACCATTGACCACGCATCTTCGAGATAATGGAGCATTCAGCCCGCGTGGGGGGGGGGGGGGGGGGGGG